ATCAAAAGAAGATCTGGGTTTATTAGAAATTTTCTCTTTTCTCCTTTCAATGAACAAAGCCTATACTAACAAGGTCAATTTAGTTTTGGATCATAGAATCATTCTACTCGATTCAAACCTGGATTTATGCAAAGTACAAAAGGATTGCTAATTGTATGAAGTGTCTGGCTGGCAGCCAAAATGCTTTCTCTAGACATTTCAGATCATGAAAACAGCGCCGGTTTGAGCGAACTTTCCCCTCTTTTTGTGTCCCTTGACCCCTTTCCGACACGTCATAGTTTATGTCTCGTTTACCTGTTTACCTCTTCCCCAATTGCCCTATTTGATTCGTAAAAACAAATCAATCTTGAACACCTCATCTGAAGAGTTGTTTCCGGGAATCGGTCTTCCTTGCGAGGAGAGATTCGTCAAATTGTCTGCACAAGAGTACGAGGCGGTCAGCTGGAAATTGAGAGGATAAAATATGTAAATATTCAGCTATAGTCGTTGAATCAGTTAGCTGTGTTGGCTAGGAAAGCGAGTGGTTTTCGTGGAATGCAAAGGAAAACTAAAAACGCGATCTGATGGGTACAATACCGTTAGATTACTGTAGCATCTAAGAACTGGAGTTCAGTCACCGTACTGTAAGATTAACGATAGTACTTGGGGTTACTCTAGTTACTAAATAGCATCAATCGCTCAGTATCAAAGCTTACATTCGTCTAACTTTCTCAACCTCATAGAGGCAGATCTGAAATCATTGTAACTAGAGCTTAACTACAGTGTAAGATTACTGTAGATTACTTTAGCTCTAGCTTAGTATAACGAAGCTTATTACTCAGGACAACTTAAGACACATCTCAGCTACAGTAAGATAAGTAAGAAGACAGCATCGACAGCACCCAAATAAAATCTAGCCTCATTTCATGATAATTTTTCTTACAGTTCATCTCCCGTATTACTACTTTATCTGTTCAGCTACAGCAATAGTACTACACGATAAAGTACAGTCTACAGTTCAGCTACAGCTATATGTACTACTCTCAATCTGTTCTACCAGACCTACAAATCTGTTCTACAAATCATTGTTAATCACTTCTCCCCATTTCTCATAAACCCGCAGAGCACCCGGGGCCTCTCACTCCTCGCCAACCTCTTTTCAACACCACTTTTCACAAAACAACATGAGCTTTTACGATTGAAGAAAGAGAATACCGGTGTTTGGTGTGGTTTGCTGCCCCGAGTGCGCTGCTCGTCCTCCAACGAGAGGATCTCATCAATCAGATATTCATCCAATAACTAAATGACCCGGCTTTATGAAAATATATGAGAGACTTTTCTGTTATATTTTGCAAGATTCTAAACTAATACTAACTAAACAAGAGTCTAGATAAAATAGAGATTACGGTAAGCTTTTCGAAAGGAGACTTGTTTTAGGAAACAATTAGGAGATTGTGTTCCCTATATTGTTTTCTAAATGATGCGCTTTGGCATAAGTTATCGTACTGGGATTTATTTGTAAATAAAATCAATTTAAATCACCACAAAGCTCAGGTCAATAAATAGCTAATTGAGGCTTAAAGAAAAGGATGGATTCATTTTTTTGAAAAAAAAATTTACAGGCATATAACAGAAAAATTAGATCAAAGGTATCAAAGCGGGCTGGTTCTAGGACCAAACTTCCGACAATGGCTTATAGGCTTTCGACAATGGCTTTCGACAATGGCATATATGCTTTCGACAATAGCTTAAGAATCAGCCCTGAATCTAAGAAAACCTACTTCAAATAGCATTTTCTATAAAGGAAAACAATTCAATCTGTTGAGGTAGTTGTTTGAGTCTGAGCTTAGAGCTGGGGTGGTTGGGTAAAAAGGGGGAGGGGCAGGGGTGAAGGAGAGGAAGAGATCTTCGACGCTGCGACCAGCTGACAAAAAGGGAGCAAAGGACTTGGCTTGACATTGGGGTCAGAGGGCAGACGAGAAAAGAAAATGGAGAAAGAATTGGAAAGTACGCGTGATACAGAATAGGAGAGCCCGCGAAAAACAGCTGCCTTCTCTTTCGATGAGAGATCCACACAAACTAGACGTAAACAAGGCGATTTTTGGGGAAGAATAGATCGTGATGTTATTTTATGACTCAACAAAACACATTGACTAATCAAAACTCAACCAAAACTCAAAACTCAAAGATAATGTCTCTTTTTGATCAATTATTTGGTAAAAGTTTGGATTTCATTTATGGGGATACACATAAATAAAAGGGTAAAGTTTGGGAAACAGCTGATCGCTTTGGGAAACAGCTTTTCTCTTTAAAGCTGAAACAGCTTTTCTCTTTCTCTGTGAAACAGCTTTTCTCTTTCAAATTTCTCTCTAACATACTTTCAATGAACCCAACAACTCAGAAAGAAAAAATCTTAAACCAAAATTTCTGTCAAAATCTTTGATCCAATCGATTTTGCTTTCATGCTCTTCTCGTGCTTATCTGAGCAATCAAATTACATAAAAAAAAAGAGGAAAAACAAGAATTGTGTTTAAGGGGAAAAGAAAATCGGATCGATAATTAAAAAATTGTTTTTTAAACACATTTTTTAAACACATCTGCCATTCTTGAACGGCAGTTCAAGAATGGCAGTTCAAGAACTAATGAAACTTTCAAAATACCATAAGAATTGGGTAAAAGAAAGAGATTGACGGGTCTTTTTCCCATCCATTTTCCACTCGTTATCAGATTTCCCAGTTTTTTTTGTGTGATTTCCCGGTGTCAACTGAGACTAGATGGCACGAATTTGAGACATGGAATTGAAGGGGGATGAATGGGCTTTGGATTGGGAGATTTGCTTTGAAATGATAAATAAACGTCAAATAGCTTTCTTTTTCTTATTCATGTCATTCTCGAGATCGCTTTTGAAATGATGTAAATATCATTGCAATGATACGGTACAATGTTGTTAATTTCTTACTTGACTTTGGTTGAAACTTCGAGGCGAGTCGCCGTATCGTTGCATTTCGGGTGACTCCATCGATGGGGATTCACGCTGATTCTAGAAAGTCGACATTTGTTTTGAATTTATTTGAATAATTGCTATTGTTTTAAATCACGAATCTTAGATTTGAACAGCGCTTTTCTCAATAAGTTTTGAGTGTTTTTAAGGATTAGACTCAAGCAGGATTGCAAATGACTTTTCCAGGTTCTGCCCTGGCCCTGGTTTGTATCGTTTGGTGGGAGTGGAGAGTCTCCGCCGATCACTCCCCACCGTCCTTGCCAATCCCCGATCGACTCCTTGTGGCCATCATCGACCTTTCCCCGGCCGTCCCTGTCATTACCGAGGGTTCCGTTGTGGCTTCAAAAGTTGAATGTTTAGAAAAAATGAAGGAAGCAGATGATAATGGCTTTGAAAAATGAAGATTTCAAAAGAAATCAAGTGGAAAAGCTTTGAACCGGCTTTTGTTTGAACGGCAGTTCAAGAATGGCAGTTCAAGAACTAATGAAACTTTCAAAATACCATAAGAATTGGGTAAAAGAAAGAGATTGACGGGTCTTTTTCCCATCCATTTTCTTCTCCCGTCTACATTCAAAAAGAAACACTCTCTGATATCATTTTCGCGATAATTAAAATTTAAAAAAGATATTCAGGCAATGAAAACACAAAAGAAAAAACCTTTTATATTTGTTTAGTTTTCTTTTTTTCTTTTTTATCAGGATATTAGTGGAATGGAGAATTTCATCAGCTTTTTGCCAAAATTGGACAAAATTGGATTAAAAAAAATTTTTTCCCTCAAAAATGACGTCAAGAAATGATTTCCGGTGAAATTCTTTTAAAAAATTTCAATCTGAAATCGGTATTCATTGAGAAATTTGAAATTCAATCATTTTTTTTGAGATTTTCTGTAAGACCAGTTTTGGATTTTGGTTTCTGGGGAAATGAGAGCATGCTGTTCAAAAGGAAACCTAAAATAAAAATGGATAATCCTTTTTGGGAAGATTTTGTTGAAAAGTTTAACAAAAGTTAAAGAAAGGATTTTTAGGAAAAAGTCGTGAGAGCTTTTTCGTTGTTCATGTTCAGAGGGAGTTGGGGAGCAGTTTTCAGAAAAGGAAGAAACACTCTAAAATCGAGAAGTCTCAAAAACTAAAAAATAAGCTAAGGAAAAAATTGAAAGATTTTTCCACAAGCGTTCTCCAGTTTTTAATGGGTTTAAAAAATTGTATAAGTTATCTAAATTATATAAATGATCAAAACCGAGAGTTCTCTTGTCTGCAACTGCAAAAAAGACAAAATTTGAATAAATCTAGATTTGAAAGAAGAAAATGAGCTTTCAAATTGTATTCTCATCAAATTTTGATTGACATGAAGATCTAATACTTAAGCTATAGCTAGGAGATTTTAAACGGTTTTCTAAATAATGTACTTTTCGAAGGAAATCTACCGTAATCTGGATACTTTTTTGAGTTTTTGGATTACTATTGTGTTAGAAAAGTTACCAAATTCAGCGTACGAAAAGTTACGGCTCGAAAAGCCGTAACGGCTGGCTTGAAAACTCGTCAAAAGACAGATAGACTTTAATTTTATCAAATGAATTGTTCTATTACATAAATTACATAATTATATTTATTATATATTATATTAAACCCAGAATACCGTAACTTTTTTGCAAAGATACATTTTAAACAACCTGAGAACTTGAGAACTAAGACTATTTCTTCAAACCTCAGCTTTCGCGAAGCTACAGTAGCCGTGTGTGCACTGTGCCATGACTTCCTGAAAATATTTTAAAATCGAAAAGCTTTAAAACCCATTTACCGGTGGCTGAATGTAACATCCCATTTGGGTGATCGTTCCCTTGATTCTTAGCGCGAAACAACCCGGATATTTCGATGATCGATAACCTTCAGTCTCCCGACAAATCTCTCGACCAGGTACACCTGAAGTTAAAGATTCTGTTAAAGTTAACTAAACTAAACTAATAGAAGTAGTAAGAAGGAGAAAAACGTAGTAGTAAGAAGTAGTAAGGAGGAGAAAAACGTAGTAGTAAGTAGTAAGAAGGAGAATTAAGAAGTAGTAAGAAGGAAAATTAAGAAGTAGTAAGAAGGAGAATTAAGAAGTAGTAAGAAGGAGAAAAACGTAGTAGTAAGAAGTAGTAAGAAGGAGAACTAAGAAGTAGTAAGAAGGAGAATTAAGAAGTAGTAAGAAGGAGAAAAACGTAGTAGTAAGAAGTAGTAAGAAGGAGAACTAAGAAGTAGTAAGAAGGAGAATTAAGAAGTAGTAAGAAGGAGAAAAACGAAACAACGATCAAGAAAGTGAAACCTTTGAGTCCAAGAGATAAAATTGAAATCACTTTGCTTCGTTATCAGCTGGTACATACAATGTTATCTGGTACAATATCTGGCACAATATCAGCTGGTACATACAATGAATATACAGCTCTGCCGTCAGCTCGGCTTCAAACACTGGTACATACAATAAAGATTGATTCTATCACTTCGAGATTAATTCTATCACTTAAAATACTATAGTGCGCTCTGCTCCTTTTAAATTCCCTCTGATTGTTATTATTTCATAAGCTTTTATACCTAAAAGATAGCCAATCTTTTACAGAATTTAAATCTGATTACAGTTTTTAAATAGCTTCTTTAGATTTTGAGTTATCACAATTTCGGTGAGCTCTGTGGTCTCACCAGGACAGTATAAGAAAATCTGCCAAATTTAGAGCTCAAACGATTAGGAGCAAATTCAGCCTCGTCAACTCTGAACACAGTTGACATAGTGAACAACTAGGCGCCTTTGTTGTTCAGAGTTGAGCTTCGTTCAGATCGCGTCCTCTTAATTGATTTTCTCATTTTCTCTCTTTCATTTAATGTTTCAACTTTCTATTTTCTGTTTTTATAAACGTCTGAGCTTCCTCATTCTTAGAAATGAAATATTGACGAGATTAGTTTTTAGTATTTCATTTTTTTATAGCAAAGCTCAAACCTTGCCGTCAGCCAGATGAGCCAGAAATGGAGTCATAAATGCTTTGGTTGATAGATTGACGAGTCGTAAATACTGTAATAGTACCACAACCCCAGAATGACAGTGCGGAGTGTTGCGTAGTCTAGCTTTAAAGGAATATTTTTTGATCATTCTATCCCATTGCATTATCAGACTTGCGTTTTATAGTAAAAGCTATTTTCGGACATCAACGATAAGTACAATTACTGTTTTAATCCCCAAATTTCGGTCAAAATACAAAGGAAGACCAAGAGCTCTATGCCGACAAAAACATTGCATTGTGATCCACTCAATTCACTTCACCATTTCCCCAAGACGACGGTCAGATAAAGCATTGATATTAATCCAAAACCTCTTTGCTCACCTCTTTTTTGCCCATTGACCAAAAATGCTAAACAAACGGCTTAGAGTGTTTTGCAGAGTGAAGCAAAGAGACGAAAAATTGACTAAAGACGGTGACTGAACTCTAGTTCTTAGATGCTACAGCAATCTTACGGTATTGTATGCATCCAGACGCGTTAGTTTTCCTTTGCGCTTCGCGAAAACCACTCACTTTCCTAGCCAACACAGCCAACTGATCACGAATATAGATGAATATTTGCATATTTTATCCTCTCAATTTTCGACTTGGGTTCGACATTGAGGTATCTCGCCTATGGCGATTCACTTATTGTGACTTACTACTCCACCAACCGCATTCATGATTAATGTAACCGACTTATATTCCAAAGTTTGGATTGACAAACCTCTTGGGCTCATGGTGGTTGGTGGAGTAGACATCCCTTTGGGTGCAAAGGGGTGTCTACTCCACCAACCACCAACTTTGCACGCAACCGAGGGAGAGTTGTACTGTGAAAAGTATTTATTCAAGAACATCAATTTTATTCAATGACCGACTATATTTTTGGGCGAATCTTGTGATCTGTTGGAGACTAGACAATTTTCTCATTTTTTTCTTTCCTTAATGTTTCAACTTTCTGCCTAGATGACCACTATGAGCAACAATGGCGCCTGAATGTCAACTGTGAACAAGAATTGCGGCTAAATGTCAACTATCAACAACAAAGGCGCCTAGTTCCTATAAAGCTCCTTTCTATCAATCAAATTTTAGGCTTAAAATCAAATTTTTGAAGTGACGTCTCTTTTTGAACTATTTTTAAAGGAAAAGAGTGTCGCGAATTAATGTTGAGGCTACTTCTTTCCCAAAACATCTATCCTAACATCTATCATAAATCCAAAACTAATTCTTAACACTAATATTTTTTACAAAAAGAAAGCTCGATCTGAAGCAATGGTCCTAAAATAGAATAAGAATGAAAGTTTTCGGGCTTTTCGGGCTAAAGAATGATAAGACATTGAAACAAACAAATGTCCACGCCATAGTTTTTTCTTCCTTTTACTCGAAACATCATCAGGTAGAAATCCTGCCGCTATTTAACTTTAGCGTGCAAAATATTGAAAAGCCATTGCTTATTTTTCAAGATTATCTTTCAAGATTATTTTTCAGAGCGATTAGAAAGATAGAAAGATAGAAAGATAGAAAGATAGAAAGATAGAAAGTTAGAAAGATATAGAAAGATAGAAAGATATAAAAGGGTAGAAAGATGCCATTTGTTCTTGTTGTCAACATATAAAGCAGCTTTAAAGCGGTTTTCTGAAGAGATTTTTAGTCATAAAGTCTTGAATATAAAGCATAGACATTAGATATTTAGGCTAGATATTCTTTTTATATTTAAATTATACCATAGTAATCTTGTCCTCTTTTCCCGGGCGGGCAAATGCACTCCCCGATCACACGTCATATGATCGGCACATTCACATTGCTAGAGTATTGTTTGTAGGGGTCCTACAAGTTGGCGTTGCAAAGCTAAATGTGAGATTTTTCGCAACAAGGACGAAGGCACTTCTTGAGCAGCAGTGGCACTTGGGGACGCCGGACTTCCAGTCCCGTTAAAGCAAATTTCCAAAACACCTGACATCAGTATTACTCGCTTGAAAAGTGCTAAAGCTGCCTTTTTATTTAAAAAAATAAATGTGCCTTTTTCCACCGCAGGTGAGATAGCCAGCGCATGAGCAGAGCATGCCCCAGCCGAGTGTCCAATCAATGTAATTTTGGCTTGAATCCCCCCAAAACCTAAATTTTTCGTTAGTTGTCCTGTGTCCTTTTCACTCATGAATATTTTTGGAGATAAATTTAATTGCTAAATGCGTGTCATCGAGTCCAAGATTTGCATGAAACTTCGAGGATGGAAAATGCGGGTAGAAAAAGCCTAAACGTTTTTACATTTAAACATTTTTTGCATTTAATAATGTTCACCGTCCACAAATCTTTTGCATTCTTTTTCTCATTTCTCACTTTTTCAATCCTTTATTTTGCAAAGATTTTTTTTCTATATTCACAAAAAAATTTCCAGAAGGATCGAATGGGTAAAAGAATTGTGGTGTCAAGAGGAATGCTTATTTCTTGGTCATTTCTCATCCTTTTCTTCACTCTACACAACATCTTTACAGAAGCTGCTCCACAAGTTTGTTTTAAATCATAATTTTTGAATTTTGGGAGAGTACCTTAAATTTGTCAAATTTTGACGTTTTATAGCTCATGCTAAAGCTGAATCCAAGGCAGATGAATTGGTACAAAAAACGTCTTGAGAATCTCTTTTCTAAAAGCTTTTACGGCTATTTTAGTAAAGGGCAGCAGAGCCAAAAAATGGATGTTTCCACGTTTTCAAAAAATGGCTTTTCGTTAGTTTTCCGTGCGAATTTGTTTCTCATTTCTAAATGCTAGTGGAATGATTTATATCATTTATAAATAAATTATTTATAGATTTATAGATAATTATTTTAAATACTTTATTCAGAAAGAAATAAGGTGCCAAAACGCATTAATAAAATCCATTATATTAGACAATTTAATGTTTAATGTGTCTTCTTTAAAAACGAACGAAAAATGAACCTGAGCTTGAACAAAACCCGAACAATCCCCAGCTCTTTCTTCTGTTTTTCTCCAATCCTCCATCCAATACAATGGGAATTTCAAAGTCTAGGCTCAAAATTGAATCTGTGACAATGCAATAATCTCTTCCTTTTTCTCATTCAAATTAGAAAGTTTTCCTTTTTTTCTATCACAAGTCATTCCAGACGTTTTCCTTTAAAATAACACCTGTCTTTTTCTATACTTTCCATTACTGACTTCAAAAAACAATTGAAATTAATTAAAAATCAAATTTTTAATTAGCTTAGTAACAGCAAAAAAAACATGGAAAACCAATAGATTTTGGCTTTATTCTTTTTACAAGGTAAAATCCACAGGTTCTAAAGAAATGGTTTCAAATTTTCAGGACAAGGAGAAGCTATTGAATTTCACGAATTTAAGAGGTGGGTTTTTAAAGCAATTTTAATTTAAAATTTAAAGCAAATTTAAAAAGCAATTTGCATAAGAGAGTTTATTTTATTTGTATAAGATCTTATAGAGTTTGTATAAGAGATATTTTAAGATTTGTTAACTTTAAAATTAAAATTGAATCAAGTTTCAGCTTAGTATTTTAAAAGTAAAAAAACTAAAAATCTTTTAGTGTGTCGCGCAGAAAGATTTTCCACAGAAAAATGGGCTCCTTGTCCTCGCATAGAGCGAGTTTTTGATGTTTAATATATTTTGGATACTTGTAATAGTAATTCAAGTCAAAGAAATCTATTATATATAAAAGAGAAGTGTCCGTTTGTCTGTCCGTCCGGCTGTCTGTCCGTCACACTCGGGATCTCGGCTCCACATGAACCGATTTCGATAAACTTTTTTAACCAATGGATTTAAAAATTAGGAAGTAAATATTGGTCAAAGCAAGTTTATCATAAAAAAACCTCTAGAAAATTAGAAAAATCACTTAGCCATATCCTTTTTGACCTTTAGGGTATGGAAAGATAGAAAAATAGACAGGTAGAAAGATATAGAAAGATGGACAGATAGAAAGATATAAAGAAATAGAAAGATAAAAAGTAGAAAGATAGGAAGATAGAATGATAGAAAGATATAGAAATCTAGCAAGATATAAAGATATAGAAAGAAGAAAGATAGAAAGCGAAAAGATAGAAAGATACGGAAAGAGAGAAAGATAGGAAGATAGGAAGATAGGAAGATATAGAAAGATAGAAAGATACAAAAGGTGGCAATTCCAACCAAACTCAACTTTTATAGGAAACCGTGTAGAAGAAGTAATGTCAGCGGTTTATTGCTCAGAAATCAATTTAGTTTGTTTTCATTGACAACCACACTCTAGAACAATCATATCTTGGTATCGTTTAAGGACAACATTCTCCGAATCATCAATGAAAATGATTTTTTGTTGAGAGAGTTTTGAAGGAGCACAACGCGGTGGTAGAGCACGTTGTGGATGTAAGAGATGGACGAGGGTTTGCACTGGAAATTCGTTTGAAAGTTCTTGTTCGTAAACACAAGTTTTTTAAGTAATGGGTTTTTAATTGCAATCTACTAATTGGAATCAAGGAATCAACTGGGTTTTTTTTCTGACCAGGAAATCAGATCCTAGTCTGATTTCTGACCGTGCAGATTAATAAGACTCTGCGAGATTGACAAAGGTAGTTTAGATCAACTTGACCATCTTGAAAAGCTTATCCTATGGCGTGAGGTACTTGTTTGCATGGACTAACGGTTAATGTCTCTAGCTAGTCGCTAGCTTTAAGCAAGGCTAGCTTCAGCGCCCGCATCTGTAATTGGGATATCTTTACACCAACAACTACTTATGAACTTATAAAATCAAAAATCTGACCAATCGCATGATTTGTTGCATTCATTTTGCTGTGCAATGGAAAAGAGCAACCACCGTCACAAAGAAATAATTGAAAGCCCTCAGGCGCGATCACCCAATCCTGGAAAGAAGTTTTTAGAAGCTCTTTTGAAGTTATAATGTTGAAACTGTAGGCTAAGCTAATTTACTTATACTATTATATTATAAATTACTCTAACATAAGTGTTTCAAAACAGTTCTAAAAAAATGTCTCTCTCACTTGCCATCCAAGATCATTGAAATTCACGTAAAGACCCTTGCGACGACAGCCCTTTTCATTCACTAAATAAAAATAGATAATACAGCTTTTAGGAAGGTTTAAACTTTAAGTAAAATCTTCTTCTCCTACCTTCAGTTTCTGCGAAAAGTGGATCGAAATTCACCGGAACATTTCCACCCTTTGACGACTCGTCTGAAGTGGATCTTTTTCTAAATTTGATTTTAAGGTCAACTTTTTGTCTTTTATTCACTTTCTCTGTGGAACACTTTTTGGTGAAATTCCCTCGTAAGAAACAATGCCGAATATGGAGAAATCTTGAGCGAAAATCACTAAAGGTAATGTTAAAAAGAGCTCAGTTACAAAGAGTTTCTTCAATCGAAAAAATGAGACTAATCTTAACAGGATTCATTGCTCTTCGCGGGGGTCGAGCCCGCGTTGCTTAGATCTAGAGACAAGAGTAACCGGTTAGACCATTGTTGCAGGTAGTTCACTGACCCCCTTTCGCGTCTAAAAGTTTCACAAAGATTTCAGGCTGATTATCAGTGATCCAAGAGTGAGATACTTTAGTGATATTTAGAGATATTTTGGCTTTTTCTTTTGAAATCGATTCTGAAGAGTGCTCGACGAGTTCACCGTTTCTGAAAAGTATAAAAATGTTCTATTTTTCTGTTTTTCATCGAAAACACGAAAAACCTTTTCAATGAAAAGTCAATCGATTTTTCTTACTTTTTTGTGAACAGTAATATTTCTCCATCAAAAGCGTGCGCAAATCGCAAGCGAATCTCGGCGTATTGCGGGAGAATTTCCGCGAAATCCAAGACATTAAAAGAAATCCCTGTATAATCGCCAATTGAAAACGTTTCTGGAAAAGATTTTAAAGATGAGAGGATATTTAATGAAATTCGATAGCCCAAGATCTGAATAAGATAAGATATAAGATCCGGTTTCAATGAAATATTTAAAATTCCATAGCTCAAGACTCAAGAATTCCATAGCTTAAGATAATATCTATCAGACCTGAATAAGATATTAAGATAAGATCTGTTAGAAAGATACAAGCTTCATGAAATTCTAGCTGATTAGCTGATTGGCCAAACCAGACATTCCATTGGTACACCAAATAAACAAAACTTGAACTAAAGCGGCTCAAAGAAGTATTATGAATATTGCAGCACATTACAAGAGCCCATTAAAAAGGGTTAGTTTTAAAAATTTCTAGCACAAAGATGAGTTTAAGGAGGTGATTTGAGTTGCTAGATCTTTCAGTGATAGATAGTTCAGACCAATGACCGTTCCATTTGTGTCCAAAGACATTAGGAAATTCTATAGTTCTTCATGCTTTTTCTTGACCCACTTACTTTTTGGTGCAAAACTCATAATTGTATTCGCGTTTCTAAGCATCTCCAGATGATTTTGAGCAAGCATTCTGAAAGATTTTATTTAAAAACATTATTTTATCAATTTAAAAGACATTTTACAATTTGCGTTCCAATATTTGATTGAAAAATCATGATTGAAAATTGAATTAATCGTTTAAGTATACTAACAACCTCTCATCATCGATTTGCCCATAAAGTGTCTTCATGAAATCGGCGGCTTCAGAATTGAAATATGCGGGCTGGTCGATTTCGTCTCTTCGATCATCCATTGGATTTCTCTCATTCTTATTATTTGGGATTGTTCCTTTATCTCTTCTTGTTCTTTGATGCAGATCCTCGGCTTCCTCGATCCCAAAAATGCTCAAAATTTCTCGACCCAGTGCACGAACATTGTCACTAAATAGATGAGGTTTTTTCTCGTTTAATTAACCACCATAGCCAATAAAGTGTCTTCCTTTCGAGCAACCCCTTTCAAAGCTTCCAAAGGGAGAAAACATCAAAATAGCTTGCTGAGCGGCTTGCGGGCTTGTTTCTAAAGCGAACAGCCGTTATGCGACAAGCTTGCCCCTATTGCCCCTACTCGAGCCCTTTTTCATAGAAACTTTAATTCTTCTAGACCAGAGTGTTTTACTTATCAGTACTAAAATTAATAGCTTTCAAAAGCCTAGAAAAATAATAAAACTTATTTGAGGAGTTTGAGAATTTTCTATATATTACTTGGGACTTACTTGTAATAATAAGTTAGGCAAATTTATTGAAGTTAAGGAAGACAGCTACGCTCAAAGCTACGAATATAAACTCACGTTTCAATCGGAATCTTCTTTGTTGTTGCCCCTTCCTCTAATAAATACGAGCTTCTCAACAAGGAGGAGTTGATTTGAAGAGGTAAATACGCAAAAATTAAGAGTGCTTGCAAGCGTTGCATGGTATAACACCCCTAAAATTCAATATAATTTTTGAATAAATTAAACAAAAATGAAAAAGAGAGACATTTAAAGTTCTTCTAAGAGCGGCTTTCTTCTTTCCCCTTTTTGTTTGATCGACCGCTGTTAGGAAAAAGGTTGAAAGATTGAAAGACGTTCTGAAAAGGTCTGAAAAAGTCGTAAGGTCTTAAGGGGCACATGTCACCCTTCTCTTCACTTCTCCACTCCCCATCCTTTCTCCTCAATCTTCCCCGTTGTTCCCCCTGCACTCCTTCCTCTTGATCTCGATGAATTACCCTCAAAGTCGCACGAAAGCGGTTTGCCCTGGCCCAATCCATTTCTCGACCCGCTTTTAAGTCTTATTTGATCTGGACGTGGGAAAAAGGAAAAGCTCGGTGGGAAAAAATCAGCCTCATTTAGGCTCTCGTTTTAGGCTCTCGAACAAAAATATAATAAAATGGTAACAAACTAGAAAAAAAAGCAAGAAAAAACCTCATCTATTTAGTGACAATGTTCGTGCACTGGGTCGAGAAATTTTGAGCATTTTTGGGATCGAGGAAGCCGAGGATCTGCATCAAAGAACAAGAAGAGATAAAGGAACAATCCCAAATAATAAGAATGAGAGAAATCCAATGGATGATCGAAGAGACGAAATCGACCAGCCCGCATATTTCAATTCTGAAGCCGCCGATTTCATGAAGACACTTTATGGGCAAATCGATGATGAGAGGTTGTTAGTATACTTAAACGATTAATCCAATTTTCAATCAAATATTGGAACGCAAATTGTAAAATGTCTTTTAAATTGATAAAATAATGTTTTAAATAAAATCTTTCAGAATGCTTGCTCAAAATCATCTGGAGATGCTTAGAAACGCGAATACAATTATGAGTTTTGCACCAAAAAGTAAGTGGGTCAAGAAAAAGCATGAAGAACTATAGAATTTCCTAATGTCTTTGGACACAAATGGAACGGTCATTGGTCTGAACTATCTATCACTGAAAGATCTAGCAACTCAAATCACCTCCTTAAACTCATCTTTGTGCTAGAAATTTTTAAAACTAACCCTTTTTAATGGGCTCTTGTAATGTGCTGCAATATTCATAATACTTCTTTGAGCAGCTTTAGTTCAAGTTTTGTTTATTTGGTGTACCAATGGAATGTCTGGTTTGGCCAATCAGCTAATCAGCTAGAATTTCATGAAGCTTGTATCTTTCTAACAGATCTTATCTTAATATCTTATTCAGGTCTGATAGATATTATCTTAATGTCTTGAGCTATGGAATTTTAAATATTTCATTGAAACCGGATCTTATATCTTATCTTATTCAGATCTTGGGCTATCGAATTTCATTAAATATCCTCTCATCTTTAAAATCTTTTCCAGAAACGTTTTCAATTGGCGATTATACAGGGATTTCTTTAATGTCTTGGATTTCGCGGAAATTCTCCCGCAATACGCCGAGATTCGCTTGCGATTTGCGCACGCTTTTGATGGAGAAATATTACTGTTCACAAAAAAGTAAGAAAAATCGATTGACTTTTCATTGAAAAGGTTTTTCGTGTTTTCGATGAAAAACAGAAAAATAGAACATTTTTATACTTTTCAGAAACGGTGAACTCGTCGAGCACTCTTCAGAATCGATTTCAAAAGAAAAAGCCAAAATATCTCTAAATATCACTAAAGTATCTCACTCTTGGATCACTGATAATCAGCCTGAAATCTTTGTGAAACTTTAGACGCGAAAGGGGTCAGTGAACTACCTGCAACAATGGTCTAACCGGCTACCTTTGTCTCTAGATCTAGCAATGCGGGCTCGACCCCGCGAAGAGCAATGAATCCTGTTAAGATTAGTCTCATTTTTCGATTGAAGAAAACTCTTGTAACTGAGCTCTTTTTAACATTACCTTTAGTGATTTTCGCTCAAGATTTCTCCATATTCGGCATTGTTCTTACGAGGAATTCTCACCAAAAGTGTTCCACAGAGAAAGTGAATAAAGACAAAAAGTTGACCTTAAAATCAGGATTTAGAAAAAGATCCACTTAGACGAGTCGTCAAAGGGTGAAATTGTTCCGTGAATTTCGATCCACTTTCGCAGAAACTGAAGGTAGGAGAAGAAGATTTTACTTAAAGTTTAAAACCTTCCTAAAAAGCTGTATTATCTATTTTTATTTAGTGAATGAAAAGGGCTGTCGTCGCAAGGGTCTTTACGTGAATTTCAATGATCTTGGATGGCAAGTGAGAGAGACATTTTTTTAGAACTGTTTTGAAACACTTATGTTAGAGTAATTTATAATATAATAGTATAAGTAAATTAGCTTAGCCTACAGTTTCAACATTATAACTTCAAAAGAGCTTCTAAAAACTTCTTTCCAGGATTGGGTGATCGCGCCTGAGGGCTTTCAATTATTTCTTTGTGACGGTGGTTGCTCTTTTCCATTGCACAGCAAAATGAATGCAACAAATCATGCGATTGGTCAGATTTTTGATTTTATAAGTTCATAAGTAGTTGTTGGTGTAAAGATATCCCAATTACAGATGCGGGCGCTGAAGCTAGCCTTGCTTAAAGCTAGCGACTAGCTAGAGACATTAACCGTTAGTCCATGCAAACAAGTACCTCACGTTTTGTTTCAGTTCTGTTTACTTGGCGATTTGCAAATGAATCCTCAAATTTTCGAAGGGAAAAACTGAATGAGAAACCCGAAAATTGGAGAAAAATCGGGGATTAGATTGAGGAATTGTTTGTCTTTGATTCGATTAATGGATGAATTAGAAGAAATGAAGCGTCGAGAATAAAGAGACAGTAGACAGTGACGGAGTACTGTACTTAGTCAGACAGACAGACAGACAGCCGACCGATTACTTTACTCGGAAAGCGTAAACACTCGTCATTCTGGTGGACTCGATTTTTTCGCATAAAGTTCCCTTGCCTTTCGAGACGCGAATTCTAAACAAGTGTGAGAAAAAGGAAGAGTAGCAATGGGAAAGAGACCAAGGCATTGATTCGAGAGAACTCACGAATCTTCTAAAATGAACTTTGTTTGTCGAAATTAATCTACTGTCATTCTATTTGGTACTCGAAAAGTGTAAACATATCCTTTCTCCTATACCAAATTTTTCATTTCTTTTTTTTTGGAGCTCAAAAATGATTCAAAATTAAGGTTGACGTTTCAGGATAAAGCTCGAAGTGCAGAAAAATTTCAATTTTAAAAATATCATACCGGTTGTACCAAAGAAATCTTTTCAAAGAGCTTTTTTGATAGATCAATCATTTGATTGATCAAACATCGTGATGCGGTGGAAACCATTAATCAATTTACTTCAACATTTCCCCAAGAGAACGATCAGATGAAGCTTGTACCTTCAATGGCAGTCATCCCAAATTTAGATCACCTCTTGGGGACAAAGTTCTTCACTTTTCACTTTTAATTTTTACCCATTGGCCAAAAATGTTAAACAAACGGCTCAGGCAGACGTTTTTTAGAGTGAAATAAGAAAAAGGCGAAAAACTGGAGAAAAGATTGGCCCCGTTAGTCTCCAGGGACACAAAAACAACGAGAAAATATTTAAAATACTGGAAAAGATTAAAGAAAATAGAGAGACTCAGAGATGGAGGAAATGCTCGAAAAGAACGTATTTGTCATCCGGTTTTGGCATTTCGCCGAGAGGTTTTCTCGGCTAAAAGAAGAGCCAAGTCCCGCCTAAAAGAAGAGCGAAGTCTCTCCTCGACGAGACTTTGCGGGAATTGAGAAGAAAATGAGTAAAGAAATTGAAAGAGACGAGAAAAGAAATTTTTACAGTATTTGACAAAGGAGATTTTCCTGAAGATATTGAGATTGTACAACATGGATAAAAGGCTTAGGTTGGGTAGCTTGCATATTAATAGTGTTAACGAGAACTCCAGGTAGAAATGTTTCTGTAATACGACGTCCAGACATTGGCCAACCTTTCATGAAGGTTTCTTTTTTTAATTTTAAAGGATCATAGTTATAAGTTAACAAAGATTCAAAGAATGAGACACTGGACAGGACGGGTTTTCCTCTTTGTTACTAAAATACCTATGCAACGCTATAAAAATATTGGAAAATATCAAAGATTGGAAACTCTTACTGTTTGAGTTTTTGAAGTAAATCTTCAAAGTTTAGGCTTTTCCGAGAAAATCTTATCGTTCTCATCCGCGACACGCCCTCATGTTGCAAAACTGACTGGCTCTAAAATAAATAGCTGTTTGGGAACTTTTAGCGCATCCCCTTTTGATTACTTGGGTTGGAGAGATTGAGTCGGCGCCGAAATTTAAAGAAACTTTTTGCAACCATAAAACCTTCTTTAAATACGCGTTTTGTTTCATCAAAATGGTCGACCATTTCTTTACAACATGGCTTTTGAGAGATTCCACAAAGCTTTTCTTTTTGGGATTTTATGGATCCCCAAACACGGCTAATCAAAATGACAAAAAGTCCGGCCCATTGCTTGAACAGTTTCTTCCACCTAAACCTTTTTTGGTGTTCATATGAAAAAGATAGAGCACACTCAATTAACTTACCAAATTTTCAGGAAGATCCCTCCAACCGTTTACTCTAGATGACAGTTTATCGATTTTGTGAAAAAATGAATCCTTTGTTAAGTTGAGGCGCTGTTTGAGTGCAATAAATATTATTTGTAGAGAATTAGTTACCCTTCTACGGATATCAAACGCATATCATTTGAAAAGTCTGCTATAAGTTTTAGAAATTCTTTGATTTTCGGCGCCGACTCATTCTCCTCAACCCAATATTTATTCCGTTTTATGAGTAATGAGCTTGCGGGAGAACACTTAGATTCGGAAGAAGCAGTCAAAAATTCGCTTTGGAAGTTTTTCGAAATCCTAACTACGAAAGAATACGAAAGAGGGTTATGAATTGAAAACTGCGGGCTATTATCATATGTCACAGTTTGAGCGAAAGAGGTAAAATGGGCAGAAGCCGTCAATTGATTATTACGCAAAAAGCGGATTATTGCATACCTTTTCACTAGCAACAAATCATAAAAGAGCATCCAAAGCTCATGAAAGATTCAAATAAACCATGCGAGAGTCCTTAAAAGCCGTGGGTGAAAAACTGCAGATTGAGTTCCGTGCTTCGTTGAAAAGAAATCAAAGCAAAACGGTTTTCACGAAGAAAATGCTGAAATGCTGGAAGTGGTGAAAGAACAAGAAGCACAAGAAGAAGCCCAACCACAAAAGGCTGGAAGATCGAACAATCAACATCCAAGGGGAAGAAAAGAAAGTGATCACATGTCATTAGTGAAACCGATTGGACCGGCCACTTTAGTCGAAAGCTTGTAAGGGTCAGTCGATGAACAGAAGCCGGCCACATCGCATTCTATTTGAGGGTAAGTGGTGAAAAATCCGGTAAGTTTAAAATAGTGGAACCTTAAAAGGAACCGTATTGGAACCGTATCGGAACCCGGAATACGGTTCAAATACGGTTCCTTTGAATCTCCGAATACGAATTTAACTTGGAGTTTATGATTTTAACTTGGGGAAAGCTATCAGATGAGATCATTTTAATTTTTATCTTTTAATCTTTCTTTTTAGAACTCGATAGTTTGCTTTCGTCACACCAGCAAAAAACACTCCAAAACGCTTCCATTTTCAAGAAGAAACGCGTGCCTCCACCATTTCATCGGCTCAATGCAAGAAAGACGAAAATTTCGTCGAGAAGACTACAAAGACGAAAATAAGACTATTTTCACATGGGAAACTTAATAAAAACTTTTCTATCAACTATTTTATCATTTTATATAATCTTTCAAGAAGAAGCTTGAGTGAAGAGTACCAAGCGCGCACATAATATTTCTTTACACGCAGACCGGTCCTTACCACAAGACGCTAGATGTCAACTGTGAACAAAACTTTGAAAGAGCTTTCAGGCAGCTTTGAAAGAGTGTAGGAAATAAATAGGGACTATAAACGAGACAAAAGTAAATTCTTCTTAGTACCTGATCCAAGTTGTGGAAGATAGCATTGTTATATGCCTAGCAGCCAAGTTAATTTTAATATTTAGGAAAATGTCATTAGGCGCTCTTACGCCCACTACATTAACGCTGGATGATATACGTGCCGGTAAATTTTAAATTCAATGTTGTGAGAAGAAAGATAGATATTGATTCAACACATTCGGTGAACAAAATTGAAATAGGCTGCTATTAATGTGCTCAAACGTTCTTATTTCAGGAATGAGACGTTGATCGGTTGGTTCGTTTCTTGTGTGATGAGGCGCGCAAGCTGAAACCGGATTTTGTTAACCCAATAGAAACCCACTTTTGACAGCCCTAAATTGATTAACGATTTTAAACTCGACGGCTTGTTGAGCTTACTTATGATTAGATTTTTGGTATTAACTGACGATAATCTCTAAAAAACAAATTAATTTTTGTGAGTTGATTTGCTACACTTAATTTAATCTTTAATTATTTAAATTAAACATCTCTAAAAATGAAAATGATTTTCATTTTTAGAGATGGGAAGATGAAAACAACGCACACCGGAAGCATATCTCGACCCAACATGCTGGTCATAAATATTTTGCAAAAAGATTCGAAGACACAGGACACATCCCTAATCAGTTTGCTTCAAAAAATTTCCACGTGATCACTTGTCCCTCTCAGCTCACGTTTTTGATCGTTTGAA